TGTGGTGGTCTCTCTGTAGTGGGATCCATGGTTACAACAACCTGTGGTGGTCTCTCTGTAGTGGGATCCATGGTTACAACAACCTGTGGTGGTCTCTCTGTAGTGGGATCCATGGTTATAACAACCTGTGGTGGTCTCTGTAGTGGGATCCAAGGTTACAACAACCTGTGGTGGATCTCTCTGTAGTGGGATCCATGGTTACAACAACCTGTGATCTCTCTGAGTCTCTCTGTAGTGGGATCCATGGTTACAACAACCTGTGGTGGTCTCTCTGTAGTGGGATCCATGGTTACAACAACCTGTGGTGGTCTCTCTGTAGTGGGATCCATGGTTACAACAACCTGTGGTGGTCTCTCTGTAGTGGGATCCATGGTTACAACAACCTGTGGTGGTCTCTCTGTAGTGGGATCCATGGTTACAACAACCTGTGGTGGTCTCTCTGTAGTGGGATCCATGGTTACAACAACCTGTGGTGGTCTCTCTGTAGTGGGATCCATGGTTACAACAACCTGTGGTGGTCTCTCTGTAGTGGGATCCATGGTTACAACAACCTGTGGTGGTCTCTCTGTAGTGGGATCCATGGTTACAACAACCTGCGGTGGTCTCTCTGTAGTGGGATCCATGGTTACAACAACCTGTGGTGGTCTGTCTGTAGTGGGATCCATGGTTACAACAACCTGTGGTGGTCTGTCTGTAGTGGGATCCATGGTTACAACAACCTGTGCTGGTCTCTGTAGTGGGATCCAAGGCTACAACAACCTGTGCTGATCTCTCTGTGGGGGGATCCATGGTGGGATCCAACAACCTGTGGTGGTCTGTCTGTAGTGGGATCCATGGCTACAACAACCTGTGGTGGTCTCTCTGTAGTGGGATCCATGGCTGCAACAACCTGTGCTGATCTCTCTGTAGTGGGATCCATGGCTACAACAACCTGTGCTGATCTCTCTGTAGTGGGATCCATGGCTGCAACAACCTGTGCTGGTCTCTCTCTGTAGTGGGATCCATGGTTACAACAACCTGTGGTGGTCTCTCTGTGCAACAAGTGGGATCCATGGTTACAACAACCTGTGCTGTCTCTCTGTAGTGGGATCCATGGCTACAACAACCTGCGGTGGCTGTCTCTCTCTGTAGTGGGATCCATGGCTACAACAACCTGTGGTGGTCTCTGTAGTGGGATCCATGGTTACAACAACCTGTGGTGGTCTCTCTGTAGTGGGATCCATGGCTACAACAACCTGTGGTGGTCTCTGTAGTGGGATCCATGGTTACAACAACCTGTGCTGGGATCCATGTCTCTCTCTGTAGTGGGATCCATGGCTACAACAACCTGTGCTGATCTCTCTGTAGTGGGATCCAAGGCTACAACAACCTGTGCTGGATCTCTCTGTAGTGGGATCCATGGCTACAACAACCTGTGCTGATCTCTCTGTAGTGGGATCCATGGCTGCAACAACCTGTGCTGATCTCTCTGTAGTGGGATCCATGTCTGCAACAACCTGTGCTGATCTCTCTGTAGTGGGATCCATGGCTGCAACAACCTGTGCTGATCTCTCTGTAGTGGGATCCATGGCTGCAACAACCTGTATTGTTCTCCCTGTGGGGATCCTTAGTAGAAGAACCTGTGGTGGTCTTTCTGTGGGGAGTTCTGGCCTCAACAATCTGTACTTGTTCCTTGTGGGGTATTCTGGCTTCAACAACCTGGAATAATTCCCTCTAGGAAATTCTAGCTACAACAAGACGTGGTGGTCTCTTTATGGAGACTTTAGGTTACAAGGACCCGTGGTGGTCTGTAATGATAACTGGGTGGACAACATGAAACGGCTTGTGTCGTTGTTCATGTGATTTAATCACTGGATTGTGTGGTCAGGATTTACTCGTCACTGCGACCCCCTCCCGACGCCCACCCCCGATTATATGCCTGAAATATTAACCACCAAATAAAACTATCACCACACTTTGTGTAGCCGGCTATTGTTCGCTCCACGCTTCACCGGGTCAGGGAATCAGTGAATCGTAGCCGTAAGTTGATTAACCGCTATCGTATTAACACGATGTAGGTGAACCACCTGATGCTTAGCTTCGTATTACTGATCTATAATTAGTTCCTGGCACAATAGTACTACTTATAAGCTGCTGAGCCGAGCATCGCAACACAAACATTACCCACAGAAGTCACCCAGCCCTGCAGTATAAGACGAGTTCCCATATCTGTAGATACTGCAGTCATCACTACACGAACATACCCGGGACAACTCTCTGGTACTACTTTCATGACTCCTTATTTTTGTGCCTAGTAACCGTCAGACGGTCGGGGCCATGGTGTGGGACATCGTATGCGGCTAGATGAGAGGTGAAGGTCACTCAGTGTATATATACAGGTGTATTATCTCACAGGCTGAACAAATATCTGGCTTTATACAGAAGCTTGTAGATTTATTGAATTACTTATATTGGGGCTGTCGAGTTTAGTCTTCACTGGTGTCAAACGATTCGAGTGATAAGAAATGTGAACAATGACATGTTTCTTGTCGACCTTTCCGCAGTAACTCGTGTCGGTGTTGCAGAAGATACAGGTATCTACATTACTGTATTGTTGATTACAGGTGCTATTTCATATTACAAAGTTATTCGCAGTAAATAATGTTTGACATTACAGTATTATTCACTATATGTGCTTTATGACATTGGAATATGGTGCGCTTTAAGTTGACATAACAATGCTGTTCTCTTTAAGTGCTCAATGACATTACAATGCTGTTCTCTTTAAGTGCTCAATGACATAACAATGCTGTTCTCTTAAAATGCTCAATGACATTACAATGCTGTTCTCTTTAAGTGCTCAATGACATTACAATGCTGTTCTCTTTAAGTGCTCAATGACATTACAATGCTGTCCTCTTTAAGTGCTCAATGACATTACAATGCTGTTCTCTTTAAGTGCTCAATGACATTACAATGCTGTTCTATTTAAGTGCTCAATGACATTACAATGCTGTTCTCATTAAGTGCTCAATGACATTACAATGCTGTTCTCTTTAAGTGCTCAATGACATTACAATGCTGTTCCCTTTAAGTGCTCAATGACATTACAATGCTGTTCTCTTTAAGTGCTCAATGACATTACAAAGCTGTTCTCTTTAAGTGCTCAATGACATTACAAAGCTGTTCTCATTAAGTGCTCAATGACATTACAATGCTGTTCTCTTTAAGTGCTCAATGACATTACAAAGCTGTTCCCTTTAAGTGCTCAATGACATTACAATGCTGTTCTCTTTAAGTGCTCAATGACATTACAAAGCTGTTCTCTTTAAGTGCTCAATGACATTACAAAGCTGTTCTCTTTAAGTGCTCAATGACATTACAATGCTGTTCTCTTTAAGTGCTCAATGACATTACAAAGCTGTTCTCTTTAAGTGCTCAATGACATTACAAAGCTGTTCTCTTTAAGTGCTCAATGACATTACAATGCTGTTCTCTTTAAGTGCTCAATGACATTACAATGCTGTTCTCATTAAGTGCTCAATGACATTACAATGCTGTTCTCTTTAAGTGCTCAATGTCATTACAAAGCTGTTCCCTTTAAGTGCTCAATGACATTACAAAGCTGTTCTCTTTAAGTGCTCAATGACATTACAAAGCTGTTCTCTTTAAGTGCTTAATGACATTACAATGCTGTTGTCTTTAAGTGCTCAATGACATTACAATGCTGTTGTCTTTAAGTGCTCAATGACAACAGCATGATTCGCTTTAGTGTTCTGTGACATAACACGTGTATTTCTATGATATTACAGTACTGTTCGCGTTGTATTTGGTATAGTATACCCTCACTTATCCACTCAGAACGATCAGTCCCACGTGGTAGGTCATCTCTTGTACGTTCTGCGTGGTGACAGTACACTACACTATGAACCCAGTCTGTCTCATGTCCGTGAGTGAATCTCCCTGCTGAGGAGTACCCGGCGACCTCTGACAGAGCACACGGAGGGAGCCGACAAGAAACCTAAACACCCAAAAAGTAACTAAGTGTTTATATTTGTTGATCCTGCGTGTTCATACTTTAAGAGCAGTATCCCTAAACCCAGTTGAAGAAGTATCCATATAAACCCTGTTTAAGCAGTATCCTTGAATAACACGGGGTGCAGCGGCAATACGACAGCATACGCCCTTTATCGCTGGAGATGATGTCGTGTTGTTGTAGTTGGTGTAGATGAGGGTCAGGACGGTGCATCGGGCGAAGGCGATGATGGGGTTATTGCTGGCCATGAGTCACGCTGCCATTCTCTGGCACTTCAGCCTCCAGGGATAGAATTTGAACTTCCCTGGCTCCATGCTGCATATACAACACATTTCCCTAGCTAGACGCTGTGAGAGAGCGGACATGTTCCCTAACATTTAGCAGATTATCATGAAGATAACAGAACTGCTGCATGTCATCGTCTCCCAGTGGCTAAAGTCGATCGATGCCCATGATATCAGTAACTGGTGTGTTTGAGCCAGACTCGAATATTTACCTATCTCCTTATGTTGCTGGAATATTGCTTAGTGTGGCGCTAAGAACAAACAAACAAACATCAGCCATAGAACAGTGCGATCAGAAAGTCCAGAGAAAACCGGTAGAGAAACAAAATAACCCAGTAACACCGAACACATTGGCGCCCGAGTAACCAACCTGAATTGTATATTGTCTTTTTCTACAATATTTCTTGCCTTGAAACCTTGAACCAAGCTCTAAGGAATAATAAATACTAAAGAAATTACTCTACTTACTTCGTAACTACATGTATAAGTTTGTCAGAGATAATGTTACATTGTGTGGATGGTGTTCCTAACCTACTTGTTCCTGCAAACGGGCACAGCGTTCGGTTGTCTGGTTATGCCAAGTTAGTACCGGTCTCCAGCCTGTCTGTCGTCATGGCTGCATCTTACATGCATGGATCTCCCCACCGGAACCACTGCAAGCCATGGGGGTCAAGTGGACGGTATTTTTAGAAACGGGCTGTTGAGCATTAAGCAGGACGAATGTAGACATTATAACCTTTATACGCACAGCGGGTGATGGTGGCACCATCGTGTAAGTATTTATAATTACGTGTAGGTCTAAATATTTGACATATTTCCGGGTTGGTACTGTACACAGGGACGGTAGTCACATGTTGCAGATCTACTGCCAGGTAGATGTATACATAGATATCTAGTCTCCATCCCTAGACCCCCCGTATCACAGCCAGATAGACCGCGTCTATTTATTCAGTGTTTGATAGCAGGCGCGAGATGCGGTCAGGGCGGAGTGATATCCACGTGTGCACGTGCTGTGACCTTCTCACTGCGGCAGAAGGTGATCGTACACCTCGGGTCTGATCCAGAATTACATGTGATATTTGTCAGAGATAATAATACCTGACCCATCGCTTACACCGGATCCCTCCGCCACACGAATGAACACACCTTGCTCACTCTGTGTTCCCGCGTTTGGAAGTGTCCTGATTGCAGCTACAACAGCTGACATTTCCTGGGAGGACTTCCGGGATGGGTACCACACCCGGCTCGTCCAGTGTCTCAGTTTAGTCACACAATGTGAAAAGTGTCTCATTTTAGTTTAAAATAGTCACCAGTGCCTCGTTTAGTAAAAACTTGTGACCAGTGATGTATTTTAGTTCAAAGGTGTCACCAGTACCTCAATTTAGTTCAAAAGTGTAACCAGTGCCGTATTTTAGTTCAAAGGAGTTGTCAGTGCCTAATTTTAGTTCAAAATGTGATCAGTGTCTTATTTTAGTTCAGAGTGTGGACAGTGTCTTTAGTTGAAAAGTATCAACAGCGTCCCGTTTTAATTCTAGAGCAGTACTATGTGACAGAAGCGGTTCAGTTTTACGAACCACATTTACTGAAAACTTCTAATAAGATTTTGGTGAAATCTGACACGTGGTAGTATATACAATATACATGTACATGCGGCCCTGCTGCTACTACAAACAACAAGGAACTTCACTCACATTCAGCCATGCCGCGTGGATACAGAGGCCTGGACCACGTCAGGTTACATGGCAGATCTTCCCCGGGGCACAGGGCTAATGACTGACACGGTTAAAATAAATTATTTATTACATACGGCTGTTGTGGCATTTAGTTCTATGAATATTTCAGTCATCGTTGTTACATTGATGTGGAGTCGGGCAAAAAATAGTATGAAGAACCCGGATGTGTCTGGGTCATCGATGTAAACTGGTTACGTCCCAGAAGAATGATGTGGACTGGGACACGTTGTAGATGATTAATTTTGATGGAACACATACCTTGGTGATTTGTAATATATGTAATATTTTTGGATGACGCTTTTTGAATGAAGTACAAATGATGATACTTTTTGGGAGTGATGTGTGTGTGTGTGTATCGGTGTGGGGTGTGTGGGTGTGTGATGGACTTGCGGATTGATGTAGACTTGCACACGTGTTCAGCCTGCACACCAGTCCGACAGTATTGCTGTCTTACTCAGTCTCAGGGACATTACGCACACTAAGTTCCTTGGATATAGCCGTCAAGCATGTACTGGTTGAAGCGTCGAGAAATCCTCAATCAAACTGAAAGAATCGCCATGTCGGACACCTTCAGTGTTCTGTTTTCATATCATGAGTGAGTGAGTTTAGTTTTACGCCGCACTCAGCAATATTCCAGCTATATGGCGGCGGTCTGTAAATAATCAAATCTGGACCAGACAATCCAGGGATCAACAGTATGAACATCGATCGACGTAATTGAGAACCGATGACATGGTGTCAACCCAGTCTGCGAGCCTGACCACCCGATCCCGTTAGTCGCCTCTTACGACAAGCATGAGTTACTAAAGATCAATCTTTTAACCCGGACCTTCACGGGTTGTTCTCATATCAAGCTTTAGCTGATGTCTGTAATGCGCCAAGAAATATTGCCTAAAGTCTGTAATACGTCATGCACTAAGGCCTAAAGTCTGTAATACGCCATGCACTAAGGCCTAAAGTCTGTAATACGCCATGCAGTAAGGCATAAAGTCTGTAATACGCCATGCAGTAAGGCCTAACGTCTGTAATACGCCATGCAGTAAGGCCTAACGTCTGTAATACGCCATGCACTAAGGCCTAAAGTCTGTAATACGCCATGCACTAAGGCCTAAAGTCTGTAATACGACATGCACTAAGGCCTAAAGTCTGTAATACTCCATGCACTAAGGCCTAACGTCTGTAATACGCCATCGACGAATGACTGTAATATGCTACGGTTTGTTGATAACACCTAGAGCTATAGTGTATTGATAATACCAACAGCTACAATTTGTTGATAACGCATAGAGCTACAGTGTGTTGATATGGTTAGAGTCTAAGAACACCTAGAGTTAAAACTCCTGACAGAGAAGGTGTATTAACGCAGTCCCTCCATGTTTCAGGTACTGACGAGCTCCGTGCAGCGTTATGGCAACACGGATCCCCATCACTAAGGACTCGTTTGGATTTGAAGACCGTCAAGACGACATTTGGCAGAAGATGGAGCACGACATGGAGCGGAGGAGGAAGGAGTGGGAGAATGAGATAGAGAAGATGTCCACCGACTTCTTCTCCATGAGGCCAGACCGAACACAGCGCAGCTTCGACCCTATCCAGGAAAGAATCGGCATCGCTGAGAGCCACGACGACGGCAAGAGCGTCATTGAGAAGAACGAGAACGGTCAACCCGTGTTCAAGGCCAGGTTCAATGTCAAGGACTACAAACCGGAAGAGGTCAATGTCAAGATGGACGCCAATAAGATCATCGTCCAGGCCAAACATGAGGAAAACAGCGGGGGAGCCTCTGTGAGTCGGGAATACTGCCGGGAGGTCAACATTCCGAAGGAGATCGATCCTCTAGCCCTGCAGTGCAGCATCTCCCCCGAGGGGAAACTAACAGTAGAAGCACCAATCCCTGTTCCCGACTACCAGAAGGACGCGCCCGTACCACTCCCCGACTATCAGAGGGAGGCGAACGTACCAGCCCCCGACTATCAGAGGGAGGCGCCCGTGCCAGCCCCCGACTATCAGAGGGATGCACCTGTACCAGCCCCCGACTATTTGCGAGAGGCCTCGGGTACTCCAACAAAGATTAGCATCAGCCAATCATCTAACGCTTCTCACTCCCCATATCATTCAGGGACGTCTTCGCCAGCATCGTTCCAACATCCACAATCACAACAAAGGGTTTCTACACCGCCTTATAAGACCCAAGCACAATTCACACCTTCACCTGTCAATCAACCCCAGCAATTCCAGTCTCCCCCCTCCTCAGGTCAATTTCAACAGACATCTGGCTCATCGTATGGTCAATATCCGTCACACACGGGATCTTCTGGGCAGTTCCAGGTTCCTCCCTACCAAGGACAGAGCTATTCTAAAACGCCTCAAGCTTTCAACACACCTGCCTTCAATTCCTCATCCGCGCAACGCACAGCTTCCCCTGTGAGCTTCACAGAGAAGAAGTTCAAGATCGACGCTGACATCGAGGATTTTAACCCGGAAGATCTAACTGTAAAGACCCTGGACAAGAAGATCGTTATCACAGCGCGGAAAGAGGTCAAGTCGGGCAACAGAACGTCAACTCGCGAGATGAGCCGAGAGTTCGCCATCCCCGAAACGTGGACCCATACACCGTCAAGGCTTTCTTCACCGAGGGCGGGAAACTTATCCTGGAGGCTCCGTACAAGCAGACGACTTCCGGTCAGTACTCCAATGGCGGAGGAGTCAACTGCAGCTCGCCTATGACAGGGAGGTAAACGTGTGAACTTTGTTCAAGAGAAGGATATTATTTTCCGAAGGACGAATGACTTGTGGGTAACATTCTGGCTGTTTGAACCGGGAGTGAGGTGACGTTGGCGTGTGGACACTGGGAGCAGCCAGCTCTTGTGTCATGGTGCTGGTGTATGTGCAATCAACATTTCAGAGATTCCAGATCGCCCTGTTGATCACGTGGTACCAATAACTTTCACTGCAAATGATATTTTTAAAGCAACCAAGTAACCAAAGCAATCACGAGTTATTTCCCTTTGACCATTAGTGATGTAGTCGATGTTGTACCGTGGTGCATTGCTTTTTGCTGTTCCTACAAGAGTAGTCTCCCTTGATGGAACAATTTTTATTGGCACCGTTCGTCATACTTTTGTTGGTATTTTAAAAATATTTGTTATGAGTTCATATTAATTATACATGCGATAACTTATTTATACCGAGACAACACAAAGGGTCAGTGACCTCATGTGATCAGTAGCCAAGTATTAAGCCACCATGGTTCGGACACAATGCCGTGGTGAACTTCTTGTCCGTGTATTAAACAGTGTCTATGTATCACACTGTTAGTCAGACCTATACGTAGCCCTTGAATGTAGCCCTAGACTCAGGAGGATGAGCTGGTGACATGTAGTATGCGCGCGTCCACATGGAAATCGCGTGACATCCACGAGGACTTGTAGACACAATCTAGATGTTCTGAAGATCATTATGTTATTGGAGAGTTGTTATTGGAAAATATTAATCTAGCCAGAGAATAAAACATATGTTCATATTTTTAACACCATGCTTTTTTTCAAAGAATGTCAGTATGATTTGTTAGATATACTAGATACTGATAGATATGTTACTGCTAGATCTGTTTTGGAGGATCAGCTGCTGCTAGGTGTGTAAAGATTTGAGGTGTGATGAAGACTGCTTTTTGATCTATTACTGCTTGGGAGTAGATCTAATATTCCTAAAATATCCTCCTTCAGTTCCTGGCTCCAGCTGGACATTAGATCTGTGACTAATGACTGGATGTGTACAGGGTGCAGCATTGGTGACTGCAACTAAGGTGTCACGTGTTCGGTGCCGTCAGAAGGTGGCAGCACTCAGACAATATCTTATGCATTTCGTTTATTAGTTTACGTCCAACTGCAGATGCCTTTATTATATTATTTGATACATTTATTGTCACCTTTTGTAAATAAAGTATGTATTCCATGAGTCACGTCTCTCTGTGTTGAAGACTGGGCTGCTGGGGAGAGCAGACGACAAACGACAGACCACCAGCAGACGACAGGCCACCGGCAGACGACAAGGGATAAACCATCGACAGACGACAGACCACCAGCAGACGTTTAGCAGTGTCTTGACAGGACAACATTTCTTTCAACCATGACCCTAACTATCCAGAGAATGGTTGTGAGGCAAATATGACTGTTTCACTCTTGTTTTCTGGTCTGATCTGCTTGAAACAATATACATTCAAACTGTGTCATTGTGATGGTAGAAACATGAATTGATGAAATATGATGTTGACTGTCCTTTAAACGAGGTAACTCATAGACAGATATACAGCTGAGAGCTTCTAGCCTAGTTATTTCAGTGGGAAACAGTGATAAATGCTTAACGCCGCTTTGGAAGCATCACCCAGCATGCCAGTCTAATGTGGAAGGAACGCCCAGAGTAGCAACCCCAGCAATCGCACAGCGTTACATTGTATGATCTGTGGGAACCTAGGTTGACACTTGTCACACTAGTAAACACACGTACACACATGTCAGCAATATATCCGTTGATTTTAATTGGTTATCAGGACAATGACGGTATCGAGTATTGGAAATGATTTTACGGACGTTTATAACTTACGACTGGGCGCGATCTGCCGAAGCAACTGTTTGTGGCGTCCGTAAAATATGTGAGCTCCTCCGTAAATAATATATCGCGTTGAAATTTATCATAAACCATATGTAAACTACAGTACGTGCTATTGGAATAGTATGAAACACACCCAGATGTATAAATGCATATATCCCACACAACAGTCAGTGTATCTCTGTATTGTACATTATACAACATACAGAGGTAAACAGATTGCATGGATTGTACAACACCCGATGTTACTTAGACACCGTGTATCGTATGACACCCGGTGGCACAACACAGACACTGTGTGTTGTAAAAACCACTCCATGCTACTAGTACTAGTTTTGTATATGTTTACACTCACTTGTAGACACACTTAAACGCAGACGTAGACATACGTAGACGTAGATGTCCTTACATACAGGCCTACTTATACGAACACGTACTTACACATATATGTTGACGTACTTACACGTAGACGTACGTACATGTGGACGTAGATATACTAACACGTAGACGGTGACGTACTTGCACATATATGTTGACGTACTTACACGTAGCTGTTGACGTACTTACACGCAGACGTACGTACATGTAGACGTAGATATACTAATACGTAGACGGTGACGTACTTGCACATATATGTTGACGTACTTACACGTAGCAGTTGACGTACTTACACGCAAACGTACGTACATGTAGACGTAGACGTACGTACATGTAGACGTAGATGTACTAACACGTAGACGTTGACGTACTTACACATAGATGTTGACGCACTTACACGTAGATGTTGACGTACTTACACGTAGACGTACGTACATGTAGACGTACATGCACTAACACGTAGGCTTTGACGTACTTACACATATATGTTGATGTACGTACATGTAGACGTAGATGTTTTTACATATATACGTACTTACACGTAGACGTACTTACCCGTAGACGTTGACGTACTTACACGGAGACGTACTTAAACGAACACGGATACGTACTTACATATAGACGTAAACGTACTTACACATAGACGTAGATGCATTTACACGTAGACGTAGCATAATGGAGTCTCAGTAGCAACAACCATTAGTTGTAACGACCCACACCTTGCAGCCACTGAACCTCCAGGACCCGTTCCACAAAGCGATCTTAGCGTGTCGATGATTGTAAGCCTATGTTAACGTATATATGTGAAGTTAGAGTCACATTAGCGTTAACATCGCTTTGTGGAACTGGACCCTGAACTGTTACCATTGGGTATGTTTCTGTCATGGCGATACGCCGGGTAAAGGGTTGGAGGAATCACCTCATTAGTATCTCTCAAATCCAAACCTACATGATACAAAATAGACATCATAGACTATAAAACTAACTATAAGTACACATGGAGAGGACATCAGCTGTACGGCCCTCAAAAACCTTCCACCAAAATCAAATGTCTGCAGTACACACAGTGTGATTGACGTACCACAAGCTGAGCTCGTCGTTCACCGCAGCATGTAAAACTCTGGAACACTTTTTATCTATTTTTTTCCACCACACCATAGTCCAAACATCATGCTGCCAACGCGAGCGGAAAGTTTGAGCAAGTTGGTAAAAAAATAAAAGATTACGAAAATAGATCTCCCAATATGCCTGAAGTTGAAATGGAAACCACAGGTTGAAGAGCCACGGGTTGATAGGAACAGGTTGATGAGCCACAGGGTAAAGAGCCAGAGCTTTATGGGCCACAGGTTGAAGAGTCACGGGTTGATGGGCCACAGGGTAAAGAGCCAGGGCTTGATGGGCCACAGGTTGAAGAGTCACGGGTTGATGGGCCACAGGTTGAAGAGCCACGGGTTGATGGGCTACAGGTTGAAAAAAACCTCCGTGCTATGATGCCGAGACAAAGTAAGCAGGTTAAGTCATTTGATGTACCAGGGTTGATCGACAAGTTCAAGGCCACGCACAGAACTGCGTTACAGTGACATCTTTGTTGTTCACATTACGCGATGTTAGAGAGGTATATCCTTATAACTTGAGTCATTTGAACAGATTGGGGTGTTGTAGGATTTACCACACGACATTGTCGGGGTAATGGTGTTGACTTTAGTCCGCAATCCCGGGATGTTTAGTTGTGTATTACCTAATGCTATAAACCCAGGGAATCATCTCGAACACCTGTGTTTGCGTGGCCTCCAGGTGCACGCTGGTGGCCGAGCCCTTGGGTTCTCCTAATGAGTTCCCTGTCGAGGGGAAGAACAGTTTGCCTGTTACAGGGTCACTGTTTCGGGGATGAGGGGTCAATGTGTGGTTGGGTGGTCACATTGTCCTCTGTGTGTGTGTAGAACGTCGTTCACCTGATCGACCACCATGGCGGTTACTTCCGGTTTACAACATTAACGCCTATTTCACTGCCCAGAAGTACACGATTAATTTCTTGTTGTAAACTAATTGTAATATGTATATTCCAAAAGAACCCATCGTGTGTGGAATCAAGGAAACTAGACATGATGTTGTTTCATATAGAAGGCTTTTCGTAACCCCAGCTACTGCCTGAACACATTCGACCTCTGCGGGAACTGAACCCTAGTTTTCTCGGAAGGGCCAACGGTAAACCACTCGGCCCAACATACTAATGGATGTTTTGATTTATTTCGCACCTGGGTCAAAACAAAATAATCAGCTATATTAGTGATGCTGCACTGGGATATTTGTGACGTTGTATCACTGTATTGGTGATGCGGTACATTTAATAAATCTGAGCTGTTGCGAGTTCCCTACTAGGACGATGCTGTCCCGAAGTTCTGTAACTAATTCTGCTAGATATACAAATGTGTTCGCAGTCTGGTGAACAAAAACAGAGATCTGGCCAACACATCTCCACAATTAAGTTTATTTTCGTATCACCTCTGCCGATAAATCTATCTTAAACACAAAGATACGTGGCGAGCAAGTCGAGATGCGATAATAAAGACACCGGCACTGTAGGCGCAGTGCGGAGTTCCAGCTGGGCGATGTAGGGAGCTTAACCCCATCATTCTGCAGGCGGAATGCGTGGCGGAATAAAGTGTTATCAAGTGTGTGGTTAGATAATGTCTTCAACAAAACCCACCCGGGCATCGGCATGGAACACATTGCTGGAAGGTCATACTCCGGAAACATGCACATAGCGATCTGCCATCACAATCTCAGAACCGATTAAAGGCGTACCCCGCCATCTCTACTGACCATACACTGTGCCAGAATAGATGACAACTATCTATTTATGACTATCAATGAAATAGTTTAATTAAGGTCAGAGGTCAAACCAGGATCTGATGACCGCCAGTTCTAACTAGACGATAAAGTTTGGATCATGAACGTAAACATCAGACTCGCCACGCCCCCTGCAGAAGGTCAACTACGGGAGATAACTCCATGTATATTAGTGTGCGATATCGTTTAAGTGAAAGAACAACAAACCCAGTCTCCCCAGCGGAACCCGTGTCACGACGAGGAGGAGTACCTCGGTGTATTGATCAGAGGCTTTACTGCGACTGAATCTCCCCCCTCCCCCAACCCTCTCCCCTCCAAGCCGCCGCAGTAGGAAGATGTTTTTGAAGGTGCAACTCTTCTTCAGTGAGAGGAAGATTAGATCTGGCTAGTTCTGACACATCAAACGCCTTGCATCAATAAATCACTCTGTACTGTTAGCTACTGTGGGTTTAAATGTTTTGTAGAAAGCATGTGCTATTCCATACTATATTTTTGTTATCTGACTGTGTTCTGCGAGTGTCCTGATTCCTTGATACACAGACATACATGATTGTGGCTCTCCCTGTATAATCTATACAATCAGAGAAAGACTGTTGGAATTGTCTGATGCGAGAAAACCAGGCTAACCCTGATTTAAGATGGCCTTCTCGTTGGCTCAGAACATTGCAACGATATAATCATTCGTCACGGTTCAAATTTCCTGTCCGAGAGTAGTCAATAGTTACGTGTTGTCACCATGGAAACCGTGATGTTAAGTACTGGCGTGGCGTTGGTGAGGGCGGGGTGAAGTGAAAGCTCTTCTCCCGCACCAGTAGCGTTAGTATGCAGGGGCGCGGCCGTTGACGCCCACGCAAACAGCAGGGACTGACACAAATACATACTGCATACATACTCGTAACTAACTCAGACTGTTACAATGTTTACAGATTTAAACATTACTGTCAGTAAACTTGTTAGTCAGGCTCAGTCTCTGAACAGCATTATTTTCCCTTCCGCTCAGCCCGTTCTGCAATGCTGAAGTCCTAGATGAGTATAGATTTCATCAGGTTTTGAATCTCCCATCTAGCTAGCGCTCATTGCGGAGAGATCGCCACGTTATCAAGTAGATTGTCTACCAGACA